GCCTTTTTATCTCATTCCCTAGTTTAATCATCTCATGTTATGAGCTCTCGTTTTACTGAATTCATGCTCTTTTGAAGTTCTCTGAGAACACAATACAACCTTCAGAATTTTGTTTTAGATTTGCTCTTCTTTCCACTTGGTTTCATCTGTTCGTCACTCCACTCCCTCTGCTGGCTGGAGCATATTTATGTAGCTGCCAGGTCATTTTAGTGAAATTTGCTTATGTTTAAGACCATTTACCCTGTTCAGACCATTTATTTTAACAGCTAGCTCAGCCATACCAGTGTACACCAGCCAGACCCGAGCCCTGCATGGGGAAGGGAGGAGGAGCCACAGGCTTTTTTGTTCCAGGGACTGGACTCTGCGCTGTCCCGATATTTGCATCAAGTCCTGAACCAGGGCAAACTCCAAATGCAGAGGAGACATATCTACCTTGGCAAGGGGGAGGAGAGTCTTGGGATTTAGGTGTCTCTCTTAATTCAGGGATGAGCAGGGTTTTTTTGTCCCACGTTTTACCCATCTCTCCCCAGCAACACTCCCTCTTTCCACGCGTGCCTGTGTGCACACACACCGGCCCTGCTCAGAGGGAGGAAGAGAGAAGGCTACCGTCCTGCCCAGCTCTCCAATCGCCTTCTTCCCAAAACCTGAGACTCGAAGGAGAATTCTGAATTTTGCAGATTCCCCCCAATGCCAGGCAGGATTAGGAGCTCTCTTCATTCTTGCCAGGAAATTGGTTCTTTTTCTTTGGTCTTTTGAAGCTTAAAGCACAATGACAAGGGCTCCTTCTCTTGCTTCATTGCTGGTGAACTGAAGTGGCTTTTACTTTTTAAGTTAATTTACTTTGGTAGTTCCTTTTTTAGGCTTTAGGGGAGGGAAGTTCTGTGGTCTGGCCTTATTTATCTTGATAAACTACACAAGAATCTTTGAGAGAAGCACTTGATAAAATACTTTAAAAATAAGTTTATTATAACTAATGAATATAAAATCTGACAGGTGTTTCAAACATTTTTGCAAAAAAAGTAAAACCCTCCCTTGTACCCTTTCTCCCAAATTACAGAGTAAGAACTTGGACAGAGTTTTACATGAAACACTAAACATGAAATATTCATTCATTTGATTGGTCCTAAAAGGCTCCAACATATTATATTCTAAGCAAAGGTCCATCAAAATTAAAAAATCAACAAATCACTTGACACTTGCTTTCTACTGTCATTACGACAATCAAAATGTTGAAGGACAAGAGCTGGTCACGAAGACCACCTGTGGCAGACACTCAAAGTGCATGGACCTATGAGACCACGAACATTCGAGATAAGAATACTGGGGGGAGACACAAACACTGATTTAAAAAATTAATCCAAGGAAATCTATGTACATTGTAGCCTTTGGCATCTGGTCTAATGCATTTCTTCTTTATAGAGACATCATTTTGTTCAATTTATTAACCAGATCAAACTGACCTTAACACATGTCTCGTATGACGCAGATTGTCCACAGCCAATTTCACGTGAGGTAGTTCGGCTGTTGATTGACATTCTAGTGAAGTTGTCAGGACACAGGGGACTCACACAGCAAACATGCCATGAGACTGGCTCATTAACCTTCCAGAAAGCAACAGAGATTACTTCTAGCTCACCCTCCTTGTCATCCCTGCCTCCACGGATAACCTCCAAAGAGACAGGCGCATGCAGGAGAGTGTGCGGGTGAGACCAGCTTTGCAAGAGGCACCCCTACCCCAGGGTGGCTTCTGTTTCTGAAGCACAGGGAGAAAATACCGACCACACCTTAAAGTGTAGGTATCAGAGGGGATGTGCTTAAAACGACCAGGACCTCTTTCTTGGGTTCTCACAGAGCATCACTGAAAACACTTGTTCACTTTGAAACAGAAATGATTCCAAGGGCAACCAGAGAATTTTCGAACATTTGCATGACAGAGTAGTGGTACGTGTTTTCTTTTTAAAGAAAGGCTATATACAGACAGTGCAGGGCAGAGATCAATGCATGCATCAACGGTCAGTCAATAACAGCCTAATCACGCCCTGGGGCGTCCTAGTGCGCCAGTGCAAGGAGACGCCACGCAGGCGGCCTCTCTCACGGGGCTGCGGACTGCAGCAGAGTGGACGCGACGCTGACCGAGACGGGCGGGCGAACGGTGCGGAACGGTGCGCGCAGCTGCTGAAAGGAACCCTAACAACCTTGTGCTAGAGAAGCAGTCTTAAAACACCATTAGACGGCAGCGGGTATTTTATGTCATTGTTGTGAAACCCCTGAGTAAGCAACCGCAGATTACAGACGCACGCCCAGAAGCAGGACGTGTCTCTAAATGAAGCGCCCTCTCTACACGTTTTCCCCGGACACGGGCTTACCGCGCACAGAGAAGTCCGCGGGCAGGCGGCCCACGTGGGTCCAAGAGCAGCCGCAGGCAAGCCCTCCCAGGCCGGACACATCAGCTCGGCTAACAGAGCAATGGCTTAAAATACACTTTACTTATACATTCTAAATCTAAAAGTATTAAAAAAAGTTGATCGTTCACCTTGAAAGGAAATGAAACATGGGGAGGGGAAGCGGAAGAGCTGTAAAACCTATGACTAAAGACAGAAGCAACTGATTTTAATCAGTGATTCCGAAATGCACTGTTGTGTAACCAACTTCTTGAAGGACATGATAGCATAGTTTAGTAGAGAAAAAACCACACAGATTTCCTTCAGAAAGCTTTCAAAATGTCTCATATCACCTTATACTTACGGTGTTCTCTCCTGCCTGAAATGTGTGAGTTCTGCAATCCAGTTAAGTTCCCTTAATAAGATACTCCTTACTTCAGCTCCTTCACGTATTTCAAATTGAATAAAGAAAACTGTACTTTATGTACTGGTTCCCATCACAGTTTTTTAATTAAAAACACTTTTCCGAAAATATAAAGGTGAGAGCATTAACTTTCTGGATATACACGTGCACACAATAATTAAAAAAGAAGACTGCAAACTTTTCCGCGATCTGATGAACACAGCCTTTCAAGCCAATCCCCAGCATGATCCGCTCGCTGTTCTGGGACCGACTTCTCGAACTCCCTGCAGAGCTGATGTGAAAATCACCTCCACCTGACAGTCACAAGTTGGTTTTGCAACCCCCTTCCCCCAAAGGATGTCCGTCCAACCCGACATTTTTCAGCAGGGTTAGCTCTAAGCTTTCAAAGGACAGAACAGTTGCTGTTGCTGACAGGATTGGGTTCCGTTAGACTAACACACTGCGCCACCCCCACCCTGAGTACAAAGCCTGGCTTCCCCTTGGGGAGCGCCCTGGAAGGGGCAGCCAAGGTTACCGACTGCTGCTCCCGACGCCTGGAAGGCACATCACCTTTTCCCTCAGGATCGCTCTAAAGGCTGCTCTTGAAAAGAGACCCTGAGCTCTTTGAGCAGTGAGAGCAGGATGCCTGCTCTGTGCATGAACATCCAGCCTGTCCTCCTGCGCTCACTGTCGGGGCGAGGGAAAGCCCAGGTGTCCAGGAGTCTTGGTGGGTTATGGGGAGAAAGCCTTAACTGTCTTTCTGTCCACTTCTGAGACAGTGACTGCAGCTTAGCACACATTAGGGCTTTGACTAAAACGGAGAAGCAAATACCATATATTCAATTCGGGAGGAGGGACTGCGTGTGCCAAGCTCCAGGTCAGGCTGCCTGACCGGCTAGCACGAGGCTCAATTTCTAGTTATTTTTATTGAAGGAGTCTCAGAGCTTTCCATGTCTTATGCTCCAGGGAGGAAAATACCTATGAAAACACAGTACCCATTTCTACAGTATTGGAAAAAGGGCGAGAAGAAAATGGAACTTATTCAAATTACCCTAATCTGGGTTCCCAACGATCCCAGATAACACCAACCCCTTCTTCCCCAGAAAACTGGGTGAGCTACAATGGCCGTACCTACATAAATGTGAAATGGCCACACTGAGTAGCTTTCTTTGCGTGTATTCACAGCTTCGCAGACAAATCCGAGGTACATCCTGGTTGCCCACTCCCTTTCCACATGAGCTCACGTGAGGTGACAGGGAGCACCGGCAGCTGATGGGAGGGTCATGCTTCGCAACCCTTACAACCTCCTGGGAGCATCCCCCTCTAATGACAGGATGTCTAAAGTGTCTTCATTCAAGGTACAGGCAAAGATGGGCTGTCTTTTCTCTTGCATTTTCAGGAGCAACGTCAAGGCCAAGAGCCCTTCGTGCTACCGGCATTTGCCCAGCAGCCCGACGGGGAGAGCCACCCGACTACTCGTGGGAGGGGAACAATTGCACACATACACCTTGGCAGTTGCCAACAGGAAGTGCTAAAGTACAAAAGAACGAGCGTCGTTTTAGCATCGTTTTTCTCCCCAGCCTTAAAACACTTGATGTTGCTTTTCTAAGTTTTAGCCTTTTCCAGAAGTCCTTATGTGAGCACAGTAGCTGCTTCAACAATTTGAGCTAAAGAAATGCCCATCTGTCTAAAGACAGACAGAAGACAAAATTAACAGCCCTCCCTACGTTAACCTCTCCGTCTAAGCAGGGCCTCTCTCTGCCCGCGGACCAGAATCCTCTGGGGCTGCTCAAGCAGCACTCACCTGCGTTCCTCGAAGGAGCTCACCTTCTGCCCTGGGGAACCCCTCACGGTGGAAATTCCCTTCCGCCCCTTGGTGGGAGTGGCCTCTCACAGGGAAGGCCCCGTGGCCCCTCTCCCACATCCTCTTGGTGGCGTGGCTCCTGAGGCCAGAGCCACAGTCTCAGTGTCACTCTCCCCAGGGGAATGCCGACACGAGACGGTTTTATGACAGACTGACATCCCACCAGTAAACCGTGACCAGGTCCCAGAGCTTTTAAGATTGATCAGCAGCTGCATTTAGCTGACTGGTGACTAAACCACGACCGATCAGAGAGCACACAGGGAACCACACAGGTCCCTGCTGCAGCCCTGGCTGGGCACCGTGCTGGTCGAAGAAGGCAGCCGAGTAAACCCGCTTCCTTCTCACTCTCCCTTTAACTGTTTTACATCCACAGTTGCCTCCTCTTCTTTGAAAAAAAGGACACATCAATAAGTTCATGCAGAAGACTGGATATTCTGTAAACTACAATTTAATCTCATGGTTCTTCAAGTCTCTGTGTACACGAATCCCTTGAAAAGTATTCAAATGCAGATTCCTGAGTCCCACCCATGTGATCTGGTCCTTCAGGTCAGGGTGAGACCTGGGAATTTGCTTTTGGAACAAGCACTCTAGGTGCTTTTGATGCAGACACAGTCTGGATCCCACCTGGGGTCACCTGTCCCTCTGTTTAGAGGCTGTGTCATGGTGAGCACATAAATCTTTTTGTGCTCACTTTTGAAATTGGATAACAATCCCTGAATGTCACAGTTTTGCTGTGCTGTCCACTTGCCATAATGCACAGGAACAAGGGTGGGTGCTAGGTCACACGCGGACTACACAGGCGCACATCGCCCACGGAGCCACAGAGAAGATTCTCTGACGAACGTCTGGGGATGGCAAACTCTATGTTTCAACAGCTTCCACAGAGGGGCTCAGCTCCCTCCAGGTTTTTAGTCTAATTCTGAGTTGATGGAAACACTGGCTATGAGTTACAGTGCTTGATGGAGAATCTGCTCACTTGCAGCTCGGGTTTGGGTGGCCCATTGAAACTCAAGGCTAAAAACAAAACAAAACAGTACCGACAAATTCATTCGTCAAATCTGCTCTTATAACTTGCTGCGCAAGTCTATATGACAGCTGCGATTTGGTTTCCAGGAGGCCCTTTGAACTGAAATAGATAGCACCTTGATTTTTAAACACACAAAACATACATATGCATTAAAAAAATTACATATAAAAGCACTAGGTTTTGCCCCGCCCCCCGGCCCCAGTAAGGGGCAAAGAGGGTTGAAGCTGCTGCTGGAAATTAAGTTGGGCAATGAAACACGGCAGCAAACTCGATTCCCTGAAGGCAGGAGGCGTGCTGTCCCGCAGACATCATACCACCTCGTCACTCTCCAGTCCATGCACCTCATACAGAGTGTCCAGGATGGCCAGCTGCTTTTCCATGGCAGGGAGGTAGAGGCTGAGATCCCTCTGCATCCCGACACTGAAAGCTGCTTTCTGGTGGTCACCTTCCTTTATGCTTAACGCGGCCACAAAATCTTCATAGGATGGAGCGGCTCTCAACGCTAACTGCAAAAGAACGGCCCGTGAGAATGTGTCGAACGTCTCTCTCGCACGCTTTCTTCTTACACACGAGCGCATGCGTGCACACACACACAGCTGAGTAGAGCAAAAGGGGAAAAGTAGGAATGTACCCTTCGAATCCATGGACTCTGAAATTTTTTGGAAGCACCAAATCAAATAATTTTAAGGCTAGAAGAACATATGTGCTCGGACCATCTTGGGGATGAATAACACTATCAAGTCAGGGAATACTGAGAGAACAAGTTTAAGAAAAGCTGCCTTCATTCACAGCGTGATCCAGAGTGTTGCCCTCGAACCGTCAGGATCGGCCTGTGTGCGCGTTTCTACCACAGCCCTTGTCCCCACCTGGCCAGCGTTCCAGAGCACCTCTCTCCTATTCGGGCCTCACCTTCATACCTACGTTTCTTGGCATAGCTCCTATTTCCCCCATGTGGATACTATTTCCTTTGCACTCTTGATTGACTGTTTTCTAAAACAGAAGGGAGCTCACACTTGTTTGGTTGCACACTATGCTTTAATGCATTTTATCCCAGGGAACCTTTATAAAAACCCTGTAGAATTTCTATTCCTATTTTACAGATGAAGGTCACATCACTAATGAGTGACCAGGCCAGGGCCTGAGCTTGGGATCGCCTCTGTGCTTTGTCAACTGCACCGTCACACCACGTCGCTGCCTGGACAGAAGAATCTCCTGGGCTTGTTATGACTCCCTTCCTTTGCACACCAACGGTTCCCCAAGCTTGCTAAAACTGGCCGCCTGGCACCCACTGGGCTGGCTCTGCTGAGATGTCTGGAGGCTTTTTAGAATCTTGAATTATCATTCAACAGTTTCTTTCTTGAGTGTCCTTATACTTTGAATTGAAAGTGTTTGAGAATCACCACCCCCCCATCCTCCACCTTGTTGCACCTGGCAAGTGGCTGGCCGTTACCACGCACTGGTTCCAGCACAGGCGTGTGTGAAGGGGGCCTGGGCTCGACTCCCGAATCTTCCATGTATTAGCTTGAGGAATTTAAGCAAGGCACTTAACCTCCTAGAACCTCCGTTTCCTCATCTATGGCACAGAATAGATATCACTTTCCTTATTTGAAGGGTTAATGGGATACGTACTTGTATGACTTACTTAACCATTGCCAGGCACGTTATTAAATACTCAAATAATGGCAGGGGTACCAGGGAGAGAGCAGAGAATGAAGAAAAGGCCATTATCCAAAGTTACAATGTGAGGAAGTCTCCCCGAACTGAAGCACGTGAGACCCCAGATTCAAAGACCCACCCCCGTGTTCAGCATAATGGATGACGATGACCAAAAGAAGGTCATGACATTTTAGAATGTGGGGAGAAAGAAAAGGTCCTAAAAGCATCCAGAAGAGGATGAGGAACAGTTTCTAAAAAACAGAACAGGAATTAGAATGACATTAAATTTTACAACAGTAACAGGGGAAGATGGAGAACCACAGAGGTATACCTTCAAAATCCTGAGATAAAGTTATTATTGACTTATAATTCTATACCAACCAAAGCATCAGTCTAGGAAAAAAGCGCAGAATAAAGACACTTGCAGGCATGGAAGCGCTCAAAACTTTAGCACCCTTGTGTCTTCCCTTAGGGACCTGCTGGAGAACGATAGCACCGAAATGACGGATTAGATCAAGAAACAGGACCTGGGAAATGAAATTAGTGTGAGAGGAGATTCAACGGAGAGAAACTTTTGAGGAAAAGTCCTTGGGCAACAACAGCACAACAGGCCTGAACAACCAACTCAGGTTGGAGTAACAGTTTAGAAAGTTCTGAAATGGAAGTCTCCAAGGAAAAAAAGACATAATTATATCATAACTGCATATTTGTGAGTTCAGGGTGATGGTGATTTGGGAGAGCTGACGGTGCAGGGGAAAATATAAAACATAGAAGGACAAAAAAAACCCCAAAACACCCCATAGAACTTTGGCTCACTGTCGTAACGTTACCTTGTGATCCATGATGTTGGGGTGGTGGAGGCTGGGGGATAAGACAGTGAGCTCAAAGGGAGCTAAATTATAATCTCTAACAGAAAGTTGACCTTTAATAACTAAAACTGATACGGCCACAACGAACACAAACATTTGTAGCGTTACGGTGGTGTCAGAAGAAAGAGCCACAGTAGTTGACAGAGGCAGCTCCTTTTGGCTAAGTCTGGGAAGTTGGGAGCAGAAGGCTGGGACTGCCATTTTTTGTTATAAGTTTTTTGGACTTTTGATAAAGAAACAAAACAAACCCTATGTACAACTGTTTAAATAAAACAAAAAATTGAAAAAGCTTTCCCAGAGCGGGGCCCAGGGATGTTCTCAAAGGCTCCTAGATGACTGTGAGGCAGCCAAGTCTATTGGGGAACCAGTGATAGAATTCAGCCCAAGAGGTCAAAGGCCAACAAAGGCCAGCCACAAAGGTCAACCAACCAATGGTGAGTGATCACACCAGAGGCAGAGCCAGGGCTGGGCACCAGTTCTGTAGATTACAACTGTTTGAAGATAAAAGCTCACAGTTTGGCTGATGAGTAAGTCAAATTCCTTAAGCGTAAAAGATGTTTCCCTGAGCAACTGAGATCAGTTAAATGAATTTGCCCCATGCTAATTAGTCAGCACATTAGAGAACTCAGTAAGCTTTCCAAAGTAGGAACAACTTAGAGGACAGTAGAGAGGCTCAAAGGGCCAATCTAGCTCCTCTACTGATAAGGCTGTTGCCAAATGCTTGAAATAATCTATTTTCTTAAAAACCAGCAAATGTAAAAATTATTAGCAATAATATCAAGAGCTTTCAAAATGTTCTTGCTCTCTAACTCTGGATACGTTACCTCACCTCTTTGTCTCTCAGGCTTTTTTTTGTCTATAAGTAGGGAAAATAAGAGAACCTGCCTCGAAGTTATGAAATTAATAATTTTACATACATAAAGCCATGTCTAGTACATGGCTCTAGATTCAGATGCTCAAAATTCTAAGTTGTGGTTATAATCATTAGCATTAGACATAGCAATTCCTATTCTAGGAACCTATGAGAAAATAAGAGGTTTTTTAAATCCAAAATGCATATGAACACATGTTGTTTTAACTATAATAACAAACTTAGAAACAGCTTAAATTTTCAAAACACAGGGTTAATAAATAAATTATGGTTCCTCCAATAGTAGGGAAATACTGTACAATCACCAAAAATAATGGTTTTCAAGGACCCTTATGGCATTTAAAAAGGTCACAATAGAATCTATTAAGTGGGGAGTGGGGGGAAGGATATAAAATTGTACTACAAGCTAAATGTCAAAAAAATTTACATGCATGTACGAAGTATACAAAATATAGATAAATACAGACATACAATATAAACATGTAGATAAATACTTGTAATAGATGTATATTTAGATAATATATAAAATTAAATGGAGTATTTAAATATATAAAATGTATAGAAAGCTAAGAAGGTAAAACGTAAGTGTTAAAAATGGTTATTATGGAGTGATTAAAAATGATTAATATGGACAACTTTAATTTTTTTCCCTTTCTATTCTTCCCTAGTTTCTACAATGCATTATGATGTATCTAAATTACTATATATTGGGGAAAATGTCATAAATTAAAAAGTCCTTTTAAAGACTCATGCTTATGATAAATTTTCTGCTACAGTGGCATTCTTGCGGACAATCTCTCTTTGATCATTAAAGATTCAGGATTTAACTTTATTTTCACACTGAAAAATAACACACTTAGGTTTCTTGTACATGGGGCAAATCACTGGTTTTATGCTTTGTCATCTCACCAAGGGGACGTAGGTGTGAGGCACCTGTCAGCCACCCCAGCATTTACTCAGGGGGAGCGATGAATGCAGCAGCATCCGCTCTCCAATTATTCACTGGCAGCTTCTTGAACACTGTTCTCACCGTGGAGGCTGTGACGCAGGGAATGGCACCAGCATCTGGAGACCAGATCTGGGTTTGGACCCGGGCTCTGCCATAGCCTCACTGTGGGATTTGGGGACTGGGATTAACAGTTCTGAATTTATGAAATCATGGGAGTTAATCCTGGGGATTACCAAAAATCATAAACAGGAAGCACCTGGTGCAATGCCTTGTACGGGCAGGCGTCCGAGAGCTACACGGTAGCTATTGCTACGATTACTAAACACACGCTGAAGGTAAGTGCGGGCAGTGTGTAGCTGCCACTGCTCTGGCTCCTATCGATCTCCATGCTTTCACTAATGATTTCATTTTCACTAAAGTTTGGTTTCTTCCACTGTAAATTCTTCCCACTTTCTTTACCTGCCTCCTAATAAACCATGACCTAAACAGTTCTTACTGTAGGCAAATGATGTCTCCTATCCTTTAAGTCAGTAAAAAACGTTCTGTGATGTTGCCTAGTGTCCCCCTGCCTGAGCCTCTTCCTGGCGGTGTCTGACTGAGGCCGACGTCTCCCGGGTGGGAGAGCCACAGACACGCACCAACTCGGACGCCGGGGCCAGCCCCTCCTGCTGTCTCACTCGGCGGCTCAGGCTTTGCCCAGGGGGCTGTGTTACCCAGGCGCGCCTTCACCCTTGGCCAACGTGCTGGCGGGGGAGGGGGCGCGCAACAGGAGCTGAACACACAAACACCTTCACAATGAAAATAATTGTGTAAGAAGAGAATAATTGCGTAAGAAGAGAATGTCCTGGCTTCGGACACACACGATTCGGTTAATATTCAATGAGATTCAACTAAGGAAAAAAGAATCAAAATCTGAGAACAGTCAAAACTGCACACCACGGGCAGCAGGGGGAGCCGCCATGAGCTTGAGGGCCCCACCAGCTTCCTCCCCCGAGTGGCGAGCACCGGGCGGCCCCTGCCCGCCCCCGTGCGCGCACTACGCGGCCCACCTCTACGCTCTCACCGCACCACCTTAGCGTTTGAAAAGCACCCACTTCGGAGGCAAATCTCCACAGATCGCTGGAACTGGATGGGGTAAAGCAGACACTGCAACAGCCTTTTCTCTTCTAGACACTGTTTATCACCAACATTTCCACCCAGCAAAGGCCTACAGACTTAAACAAGCAACGCTTTGTTCTTATTCTGGAAAACAAGGCAGACAGAGACACCATGCACACAAAACAAGCAAAAGCCCCTTGCGGCGACCGTCAGAACACTAGGAGGCAGAAGGCTTACTTACCGCAAAGACGCCTCGGACGACCCAGCCGTGGTGCTGCCGTAGAGTCTTCCCGTAGGCGTTATCTTGAAAAAGAAGAAGAGCTCTGTGAGGGCCAATTTCCTCGGAATTTGATATGCTCGTCATGTCCTGTCCTTTCTAACGAGCGCAGGAGCACGGTCCTGATGGCGTTAGGAACTGGTGACAGGTGTCTAATTATAAGATTATGTACGCCAAAAGCTGTGCGTAGTACAAGCACCAGCACCATTTAATGAATGCTTAGATTTATCATAGGATATAAAAATATTTCAAATTATAACAATGGTAGGGAGCGGTTCCCGGGGCTGAGGCCAGGTTTTGAGGACCTTTGCTGCCACATGAAGGATTCTCAGCTTCCCACCTAAGGCACAGCGGCAGTTCTATAAAAACATAACTTGCTGCTTTTGTCTGATTTCACAAGTAATGCATGCTCATTGTTAAAAATACGGAAAACACAAAACGGGGGGAACTGAAGAAACCTACCTAACCGTGCGTCTCAGAGACGGCCACGGTGGGCACTCTGGGGTGAACTCCCTTAGCCCTCTTTCCTATGCAGAGAGCTGATTTTCTTCGACGAGCAGTCATGGTCAACCTGACTTGGAGTCATGGTACAGAAGTGACAAGGTGGGACCCCCGCTGCTTTACAGTGCCAGCACACGCAGCTGCCCCAGCCCCAGAGCCTTCAGTTCCAACGCCCCCTGGCCGGACAAATGGCCTGTTCACGGGGGCTCTGCCAACCTCAGAGACTTCATCCTTTTCCTACGCTTTGCCCTAAGTCAGTCATTCAAAAAAGCCCAGAAGTGTTTCTCCATGTACCCCTTCTACAGGGCGGCCAGGAAACAAGGGTGCTGGGGGTCTAACCAGTGTGGCAGGCACCCGGTCTAAGGAAGAGGGAGTGTTTGTTGGGCGGCACGATCTGTGTCCTACCTCCTGGCCCTTCCAGGTGGCAGCTATTCCTTCTACTCTGCATCTTGCCAGAGAAGAGCTCACCGGGGAAAATGTGGGGTCTAATGGGAGAAGATGGAGTCAGAGAATCTGGGCTGAGGTCTGACTCAGGCCCAGCAAGACCATGGCTACCATTTAACACCAACAAATAAAACTAAACTCATGAAAAAAAAATTAAAACAAAAAGATTTGCCAGAAGTCCTTAACTGACTTCTAGGGCTGCAGATATCCCTGCCACGGGAGGCTGCATTAGAATAAGATGGAGTCTAAGCCTGACCTATTTTGGTTACCCAGAGATTAGATAATGAAATACATTAATCTTCACGGTAATACCCATTCATTATCCTAATGCGTGTTCTATAATCTGGAAGTATTTTTGGCTTCTGAAAGACATAAATGATACCCTTCTCCCAGTTCTCTGACATGTGTCATTTCCTCAGAGACTGAGTCAAAAGTTCTGAGCAGGAAGCCTTGGCAATCAATCACCTTGCCCAATTCTCCGCCTTTACAAAGGAAGAAACAGGAAACCCAGTGACTCGCCCAAGGTCACAAAGCTGAGAGTAATGAGAACTTGGGCCATCCCTGTCACATTAAACCCTTCTGCCAAAAACTAATAGTTTATCCTTTGTGAAACAGAATAATGAAAATGAAAAATGTGCCTTTTCCAGCCATTTCCTAAAAGAATTGAGACCTTATTCTGTTTATGGAAACAACACAAATGTTCTTTCTTTACTGGTAATTCAGAAACTTGCTCTAAGATATTCAGAGGTTATGAGAACAAGCTTTCCATTACTGTAGGTGGACAACTATTCCATCCAGAAACTGAATATATGAGACAGTGTTTCTCTATCATAAATCCATAATTGGAAAGAATTTGTAAAATTACTTTGGGCTGTAGTGAAGACAAAGAAGAAATGCAAATCTAAGTCTGAAGAGAGCATGTAGGAGGCAGATATCAGAGCGTGAAAAGCAGAACAGACCCCCCACGGAGCTCAGGCTCAGGAAGGACAGCTCCAACCCAGGCTTCCGTGGGAGGGGTCGGGAGCCAGGGAGGGTTTGAAGGTAAGTAAGCGGTGGATGTGAATATGAGAAATCATACAGAGTGAGAAAGAAAGAATGTGCATAATGTGACACCACGCATAGGAGTTTAAAATATGCAACAAAATACTAGATACTGTTTATGGACACATAAATATATAGTAAGAGTATAAAAACATGCATTGCATGATGACAAACAGCAAATTCTGGATGCAGATCTCTGGAAAATGAGAGGAGTCATGGGGTCAAAGGGGTGGTGCATGGGTCCTGTACTGAACTATTTTATATATTTGGTGAAGTGGTAGATATTTGTTAAATGTCTGAAATACTTAAAAAAAAAAAAACTGAGTTGCTAGGAAAATACCCTCTAAATTCTTTATAGTGATTAAGCTTCAGGCAAAATGAATTGTCTAGAGAAAAGTCACCTCAATAAGCAGTGGGCAGAGGTGAGTCAAGCACCCAGAGACACCCTCTGTTGACTTTGGGAGCCGCCAAGACGAGAACTGGCACTGTAACATGATGTGAGGAGTTTCAGAGCGAGCACAGCTTAATTCATGTTCCACAGTTTTTCAGAATAATTAGTCAAGTAATAATTTGACACTCAGTATCTCTGATGATGAGTTCGGGCTTTCTCACAGAGCTCTCCTTGTCCGTGAAAGCCTTTCATATGAAATACATCACCAAGCACCCTGGAGCTCTTGGTGGGGCTAATATTTACCTGACATTTATGGGATCATTCTTAGGGGAGGGAGGTGGCAGCATGCTCTCCCGGGCTGAGGGCACAGTGCAGAGCACGTAACATTTAGCACAATGGTGCATGAAATGCCAGAGCCACTTGTCTTCCTTCCTCTGATGAAGGTGCTCTCCACAAGCTCTTTGATATGGCACCTGTGGATGGAGGGGCTCAGCTATAGGCTGGACCATTAAACATGTCTGTCATGGGGAGCCAACTCTTTTCTGAGAATGACCTCTACAGAATGTCACGGGACACTGAGAGTTCACAGCAGCTCTTGGCATAAGACCACCCCCGAGATTCCCCTCTAAGAATCATTACGGGGAATCCACGTGATATCTCAGATTCACAGGGGGCACCCGTGTGAGGCCCAAGGCTTCTTCCCAGATGCTGGGAACTCATTCTAGGTCACAGAGCTGCAGTGGTATGACGAGGATCCACGCGTTGTCCAGGGAGTTGATAGATGCCAAAGCTTCTGTTATGTCATTTAGGACTTTTACATGTCATCTCCCATTTTCAAGGCCACGAGGAGGAACATTTACCTCAAAAACCTTTCTTAAACTGTGTTTTCAAATTTGGGAGTGCCATCCAAGGTTTATCTTTAATTTATTCCTGCCTTGCTGTTCCTAGGTTAGGAGACATTTTCAGCCACTGGAGAACTGGCTAATTATCACGAAAGGAAGGCCAAACTGACTGATGCCGAGGGTAACTAAGTGAGCTCCCCTGTCCTGGCTCTGGGCGAGGGGACCCCGACTTCGGCGCGGGTTAGAATTGCCTCAGCGAGTTGTTACCACAGAGGCTGCTGGCCTCTGCCAGGCCTTCTGAGTAGGCAGGCGTTGCCTGGGGCCTGGACGCTGCATTTCTAGTAAGTTCCGGGTGCTAAAAGTGCTGCTGCCTTTGGACCACTGTAAGACCCGCTGGTCTAGATCTGAGACCCTCAGGGAGGCACTTGCCCTCTCTGTGCCTCAGTTTCCTTGTGGTGACAGGGAAGTGTTGGGAAAAGTAAATGAAATGCTTACCAGGAACCTACTGTCATACCTACAATGTGTGTTCTCTAAGTGGTAGCAGTTATTGCAATAACTCAAATCCAATTTTAGAATTTAAAAACGTACAAGCTAATTTGCCTATGTCTGGCATATAAACTGACATACACTTTCTTTTACTCACATACCCTAACTCCCTCTTTTCAGGTAAGGTATCAGTTCCACTTACAAAGGCTGGGATTTCGAAATAAGAAAAGAGAACCTGTTAACACAGCTGCAGGGGGCCTTCGGCCTATGGGTTTCGAGGGGCCTACGGGCTCTAAATGGCTCTAAACAGCCCGTGTATAAACGTCCCTCATAGCCTGTATCCGTCTGCACAAGCTGCTGCGGTCTGTGCCAGAGGGTAGGGTTGGTTGGGGAAACCTCACTCCGCCTTAACCAGCGGCAGGAAGCTAGGGATCCCTACAGGGAAGACACGATTTAAATCGTGAAAACCTCTGAAATAATCCTGAGCACCAGATGCAACTCCCAAATTGACAGCCCCCTCTCGTTCCCATTGAAGGCAGTGCTGAAGGGGCAGAGCGGACAGGAGAAGCTGAGGTCGGCGGTGGCTACTCCAGTTCTGAAGGAGCACCTGCCCTTCAAGTCTCCTCTCTTCATGGAGTTGACATTTCCTGGTCCAATTTCGTTAGAGGAAGGGGAGAAAGGGGGTCGACAGAGGAGTGGAGGCAGGACTGAACGGGCGTAGCCTCCACTTCCTCCCCAGGGGGCGGGGAGGGGCAAAGCTCTTCTTTGCACTTGCTGGTGCCCCGTAGGCAGCTGGTTCTCTTCCCACTACCCCCGCCCCCCCCCCACCACACAGAGGGGTAAAGGAAATTGGCCACACCCCTCACCCCTCACAGACAGCCACACAAAGCGATGGCTCCCTGTGACAGGCCCCTGCCAGAATGGAGCACAGGCTGCGTTTCCTGCGGGTGGAGGGGTCTTCCTCCCAGGGTGAAACGTCCATACTCTGAAGAAGAATTTCTGGCTTGGCACTCAAGCTTTGTAAATTTTCCATTTCTGATTTGAGACAAATAAACCCCATTTCCTGGCAGTTAGTTGTCATCATAGGTCATGGTGATAAGAATATAAATGACAATGAGAGCTAATCTCTATTAAGTGCTTATTATGTACCGCTTTTCTAATCTTTTCACATGCACGAACCCATTTAATCTTTACAGCAACTTTGTTAGGAAAATTGTATCATCATCCCCATTTTATAGATGAGGAAACCAAGAAACAGAAAGGTTAAGTAAACTGATAAAGGGCACAACGCTGTGAAGTGGTGGAACCCAGAAAGCCCACGGCCTGCATGGCTCCACAAGCCTTATAGTCCATAGACACTGGTCAGGGGCATGAACGGTTACGGTGAATATACCTCTAGAGCTGGAATCAGGACACACAGGGAGAACATAACAGACTGGCCTGGAGATTCAGGGATGTATGAGAAACCCCCAAACACAGGTAGCCCCGTGATGGGGGAGACTCTTTGTCGGGGAAATGAGGGTCCTGGAGGCAGGAGCCCCAAAGTGACCCTGATTCACACTCTTTGTGGTCTTAGCATGGATGTTAGTCTTTCAGAATTCTGGATACCTAACCTGCAGAAATGGACTGGTCTGAGGATTAGGTTGTCTGCATTCTTCATAAAGTGTTACAGAAATATCAGCTTTTATTGTTTCACGGCGCATTGGCCAGTTTCCAGACAGAAAAGCCTGGGCAAATCATGTGGGGGCAGGACCCCCCAGGCCTCCCGGCCCAGCGGGAGGGCCGACAGAAGGGGGCAGGGCCTCCCGAGACGGGCAGGGCGCCGCCAGCTCCGTGCCCCACGGGCGCATCCACGCCATCCACTTCACTATTTGTCATGACGGCTACTTAGAGCTGGAGGCTGTGCTGCTTCTCTCCCCATAGTAATACAGGACTTCAAAGTAACATGGAATTTCACCCCCCATGTCTGCCACCAGGCCGCAGGGCCCATGCTGGAAGAGTTTCCTGTAGGTCAAGAGTGAGAGCTCAGCCGACACACTTTACATAGTTTAAATACAAAGTCTTCTAAGACAAAGACTAACGGACTAATAACGGACACGTCATCCACCATGAGGATGCTTCCAACTAATGTTTTTCAAAACTGGCCCAACAGATATATGGTTCCATCCATCTACCCCTCCCCCCCAACACCCGTGTTGATTAAGCACCATGTTCTTGTCCTTTGACCAAGGCTTTGATCCCAGGCCCAGCTCTACCACTACAACCATGGGGCAGCATGTGGGCAGGTGAGGAGCACGAGGTTCGTCTCATTCCAGAGCAGATCCCCAGGGTTCCCCACCCCCTCCAAAACTAGCTTATCTTTGGATATTTTAGAGGACTGTGCTGTGTTTTTAGATTAATTTAGGAAGAACCAACTTCTTGGAAATATTAGATGTTCCTATTAAGAGATGACTCTCCATTAATTTAGCTCTTCTCTAGGAACACTGATTTTTATAAATTAATCTAGATTACCAGGTGACTCTCTCATGGAATCTTTTTTAAAAAAGGCATACAAGAAAGAAACAATTAATAATGATGAACAAAAAGGAAACAAAATCAAATCCCCTGTCTCTTCCTCCAGGGGTCTCTATTCCATATCCTGTTCAACTATCAATCCAAATGTAAGGAACACTTACTCAGGGCTGTCTGGATATCCTTTTCTCCATTTTTTACTTCTGTTAAAAATCCTTTCAAAAATTTAAGACCTCTAAAAACAAAAAAAAGAGGAAGAGATGTTAGTTTCAAAAGTCACTTACGTTTGATGGGCATAAAAAAAGGCAGCCCACCGCTTCTTTCCCACTAATTCGGTCGGTGGGCGCTGCAGCGAACAGGTCAGACCACGTGGCGGTCCTCCCTGAGTTTCTTCCGTCTTCCCCCTCTAGCTCGTTCTGGCCTTTCTCATCTGATACAGCTCAATGGTGGTCTTCAAAGTGTGGGTCTCCTGGGACCACAGTTTCAGCAGCGCCTGGGAATTGGCTAAAACAGAAAATTCTGGGGCTCACTCCAGACTTACTGAATCAGAAACTCCAGGTTTGGGGCAGAGCAACTACGTTTTTAACAAGCCCATGATGTGACTCGGGCCTCCCTCAAGTTTGTGATCCACTGGTTTAACGCAAAACCAGTCAACTTTATCAGGCTTAATCTTATCTACACTATTAACAATGTTTATCACCCTCAAGAGGGAGGCAAAAAACCAAAAAAGTGGTGTTCTTTTCACTAGACTCTCTGGAAAAGGCTGTGCAGTTAGGATAGACCCTTCACTCAGAAGCAGTCTCCTTTCCATGATGAGCGTTCTGCTGAACGTCACCAGCGGCCCCGCCGCAGGAACCTCACCTCTTCAGCCACAAGAGGGCTTCGGTGGCCGAGTTCCTGACCTGGGCCACGTCGGCCGCCACTTCGTGCAGCACGATCTTCTGGAGGGTGGCAAACTTCTCCTTGTTGGTTATGTACTTCTGATTCACTTTCTGCAGGGAAGGCAGAGAGACCAGCTAAGTCCAAAATGCCAAAGCGACCAGGCAAACCAGTACAGTAGCTGAGACTTTTAAGTCTGTCAAGCAGGCCTCTAAGAAATCAAAATAAATGTGGCCTCTGTTACCTTCATCCCTACGTTTGCAGGGTGATGTTACTTTTTGTTTGAGAATTCTTATGAGGCTTAAGCCAGAATTAAACGGTTAGTTCTCAGGGTTTTAAAGTAGTCTTTTTTAACGTATTCTTTTGTTCTGCCCCAGGACCTTTCTCACAGCTGTCCTATGTTATACCTCTGTACTTTTTATTCTGAGATCAAATTCAACAATCATTTGTTTCTGAATGAGATTGCATGCAACTATTTCCTCCAAGTATACTGTCTCCCCAGAGACAAGCTAGTACATTCACCTTAATATTTCCAACAAGATCCATTTTAACAGGAGCAAACACCGTAGGGCCAAGTTTGTCTAAAAGAAAGAATTAAAAACATCTTTGAAAAAGCAGTTTTTTTCAAGTGGAAACTATTTTTTATAGTATCAATAAATTTAGCAGGCTTCCCTCCCATAAAAAGAAAAACAAAAAACCTTTTGTTTTTTTGCCTTCAAATCATTTTCTAAACATAAGCTTCAGAGGCTTCTAGGATACTACCCTGAGGTGGATAACTATAACAAGGCCCTAAATGGCAGCTGAGGATAATCGTACAAACTCTGAATACATATTATAATCCTTAGGGCTATGCTATCCAATATGGCAGCCATTAGAGTTGTGGCCACTTAGTGTTTGCAATGGGCTAGTCCAAACTAAAATGTACTGTAAGTGTAAGATAGATACACACCAGAGTTGAAAGATTTAATACCAAAAAAAGAATGCAAAATATCTCATTAATGATTCTTTTATATTGATTACATAATGAGATATTTTGAATATTCTAGGTTAGATAAAATAAACTATAAAAATTAGTTTTATGTTTTGTTTATTTTATGTACCTGCTAGAAAATTTAAACTTATGTATGTGGTTTGAATATTTCTGTTGGACAAAAACAGCTAAAAAAGTTAACATAAATCGGTACAGCTAGAAAGCCAAAGGAGAAAAATGTAATGGAATTCTAAAAAATACTTGAGAGACCCAAAAGAAAGGCAGGAACAAAAGTAGGTAAAAAGCCAAAGAGGAAATAAAACTGAATACTAAAAAATAACATTAATTGGCTAGAAGTCAAGAAAAGAGTAAAAAAGGAACAAAAACAGATAGGACAAATATTGTGTTGGCCAAAAAGTTGGTTTAGTAGTGCCGTACTAGAGCTGTACCATGGCTCTAGCAGGGCTTAGTTGCCTTTAACTTCATTCAAAACAATTCTGTCAGCTTGAACTGTGACAGCTGTCATATCAGCGTGCATTTTAAAAAAACATCAAAATTGGTGAATTTTTGTGGAGCCATTTTAATGTTGAACATGGAAGAAAATAAACTACATTTTTGGCATGTTATGCTTTACTATTTCAAGAAAGGTAAAAATGCAAATGAAATGTAAAAGAAAAAAAGATTTGTGCAGTATATGGAGAAGGTGCTGTGACTGATCGAATGCTGTCGAAAGTGGTTTGTGAAGTTCTTGGTACTACTGATATTTTGGCCAAATAATTCTTTGCTGTGGAGCTGTCTTATGCATTGGGAGATGTTTAGCAGCAGCCCTGGCCTCCACCCACTAGAAGCCAATAGCGGGAGACAGCCGACATACTCAAAATATCCAAGTCAATAAAGTTATTGGTGAAAATGAACAGTGTGTCTTTTATCTTACAGAAAAAGCTAAGCAGAATTTTTAGGTCACTCAGTGGAAAATAAATAACAAGATAGTAGACTTATATTCACCCAAACAATGTAATTCACTGCATTAACCAAGTACAGGGGGAAAAAAAATGATTATTTCAATAAATGCAGAAAAAATATTTTGAAGTTAAATCATTCACGATGATAAAAACTCAATGTACAAAAGTCCATGGTATATCTATATAGTACAATGAACAATCGGAATGTAAATAGTTTTTACAACGGCCTCAAAACCCATAAAATTCTAAAATTTATTCCTAATAAAATATGTATAAGACTTCTATACTTAAAAAATGATACAAGCTTCGCTGTGAAAATGACAAACACCTGGGTGAATGGAGAGCCAGCTCATGCTCACGGGGCAGAAGACTCAGTGTTTAAGGCGCCACTTCCCTCCTCATCAGCCTACAGACTCAATGTAATCTTAATCAAAATACCACCAGGCTCTTTAATAGAAACTGAAAAGCTAAAACTTATGTAGACATGCAAAGGACCCAGAATTCCCAAAGCAATCTTGAAAAAGAAGAGCAAAATTGGAAGACTTTCATTATCTGACTTCAAGCCTCACTGTAAATGCACAGTAATTAGGACACTGGAGTATTGGCATTAGGAAAAACAAACAGATTATTGGGACAGAAGAGAGAGTCCAGAAATAGACTCGTGCTTATTAGGTCAACTGATTTTTCAACAAAGCTGCCAAAGTAATGTAAAAAGGAAAAAATGTTTTTCAACAAATGGTTGTTGAACAACCAGACATAAGAGAAATTAAAAAAAAAAAAGAATCTCAACATTTTCTTCACACCATATACGAAAACTAATTCCAAGATGACTAACAGATCGAAACAAAATCAAAAGAGCAGAGAAGACAGCACAGGAAGGAATAAGGAATATCATCCTAACTTTGAGGGTAAGCAAAGGCTTCTAGGACCCTGAAAATACTAACCATAAAAGAAAGAAAACAGATCAATTGGATTTCATGAAAATTAAAAACTGTGCTCTTCAAAAGACATGATTAAGAAACAGGCAGTATAGTCTGGGGGGAAATATTCACAACATGTATGTCTACACTAGAGAGCTACTCAGAATAAAGAACTCTTAGAAGTCCATAATAAAAGAAAATTAACCAACTTTAAAACATAGATTAAGGATTTTTATATAATTATATGAAAAAGTACTTAACATTATTAGTTATCAGTGAAATGCAAATTTAAGCCAGAAAAAGATACCACTAAACACTCACAGGAATGGCCAAAATCAAAAATACTGACACCACCAAGCGCTGGTGAAGAACGTGAAGCAACCACAAAACACACACACACTGCTACTGGAAGTGTACGATTGTGCAACCAGCCTTTATAAAGCCAAACATATGGAGCCTATGAATCAGCCAGTCCACGCCTTGGTACTGGCTCAGGAGAAAGGAAGACACATGCCCACAGATGCAAACATGTTCAGAGCAATCTCATGTAGAATAGCCCCAAACAAATAACTACCCAAATGTCTATCAACAGACGAATGAATAAACAAATTGTTAAATTCATTTACAAGAATACTACCCAGCAATAAAAAGGAATGAACTGCTGATACATGCAACAACAAGGATGAAAACATGATATTGAGAAAAAAAGCCAGCTGCGAAAGGATACATAACATGGTTTTATATACGTGAGATTTGAGAATGGGTAAAACTAATCTATGGTGACGGAAAGGAGCAAAATGGTTGCCTCGGGCTGGGTGACTGGTTGGGGACAGACTGGCAGGAGGAACATTTCTGGGGTGATGGGAACATTCTTGGTCTTGACAGAGATGTAGATTACATAAGCAGGTGCATTTGTCAAGACTCATTGAATCATAACCCTTCAGTTATGCAAGTTATACCTCGATTTAAAAAAAAAAAAGATGTAGAATTAAATGGGTCATGGAGCAAATTTCCACACACTAGCCATTAAGAGTCAACACATGACTCTATAAAAAGTACATGTAATTTGAACTTAAATAAATGTATACATATTTTTCTTTAGTCTTTGAAAAAAGTTTAAACTGGTAAAATTTTTCACAGAGTACCCATGGATTTGAAGGTCTGTTCCTCAGCGACTTTCACTTTCATTTTTAATTATGATTTCTGGAAAACGGAATTCCCTTTTTTGCGTTACACTACTTGGAGGTCAATATTTAATCACAACTGAAATGAGAATATGTAATAGCGCTTCAGGTCACGCAGTTTTCACCGCACGGGGCTGGTGACAGGAGGAGGCAGCCAGGAAGGGCCGCCCCGTGGCACACGCAGCTCAGGCTCTCTACAGGAGATGGCGACAGTGAGACGGATTCTGGAGGCTGACCAATCGAAGGCCGTGCAGCAGTCTTACCCAGTACTGGAACCACAGCGTAACACGATGCCAAGAAAGCTTCTGTGGGAATGCCACTGTCTTCCAGAAGTTCTATGTCACTAAAGCTAGGCAATTTGGTAATAAGAAGGAGAAAAGAAATGCAAACACAACATTAGCCCTCTGTGCAATTCAGAGGCAGTCATGAAAACAGCTGCCCCTGAACAGGGCAAATCATCTGGCCGGATTTCACACACAGGACCCCAGTGACTGTTTTTCTATTACAATATGGTCTAATGATATTATCATCTTCCAAAGATAACCCTTCAGAACAAGCTAAAATTTGTGCACGGATTATACTCCCACAGTCCAGCTCCTTCTCACCCGCTGCTTCAGACAAGGGAAGCAGGAAGCAGGTGCCTGGGTGGACCGTAGTCTCTACCCTGTTAGAACACACTATCCCCTGAAAGGAACACCAGGACTGATCTTCCGGAAGCTTCAGTAGTTGTAGAGAGTAGAGAATACCTGGTGTTCATGGTACTGAAGAAAGTTGGGATAACTTCTTGGCCTTCCTCCCAGTGGGGTTCTGAAGAGTTACTGGGGGGGCTTGGTCCAGGCTGTGCCACGTTGTCATGATTTCCTGAGTCTTCCTCTCCATCTTCCTTCATTATTTCACTTTGGGCTGAAATAATGAAGGAATGGAGCAAAGTGAAGATACTTACTACTAACCCATTATTTATTATAAAAAGTAATGTATATATTCATTGTCAAACAGTTCTAAAACACAGAAAAGTACACAGAAATGAAAATCAACGAAATACTGTATACACACACACACAAATAAAATTGGGTTTAAATATATGTAGAATTGTATCTTGCTTGTTTTCCCCAATGTATCAAGAATATTTTCATTACCATTGAATACTCTGCAAAACGACTCTAAAGGCTATGTAAAACTGCATTGTGTTCATGTGGAGGGCATTTATGTGGTTTCCAGAATTTTACTTTTAGAAATAGCCATTACTCATTAGTAGTGTAATTCTGGATTTGTGAGTTGGTCTACTTGCTAGAGTTTATTGTACTTTGAAAACCAGTGCTAACAGCCTTTTTGCAGTTATTTGTGGACACGTACAGAGTGGTGAAAAATTGATAAAGCCAAGGTTGAACAAGGTGACACTCTGCCTTTTTATTTCAGCTCCCAAACTGCACACGAGTGTCTTTTCAGGGCCACATTTTGTACAGTTTGTTGTTGGCTTCCCTGTTTACAAGGGCCCCAGGGTGCTGTCTGGTGCTCCTGAGCACAAGCCGGCTCTGCCATGCCTTATGGAACGCATACGTGTGTTAGAGAAGCTCGGTTCAGGCATGGGTTGTAGAGCTACTGGCCGTGGGTTCAATGTTACTGAATCAACAGTATACATTAAATAAGGTGTCTTTAAATAGAAACACTTAAGACAAGGTTATATATTGATCAGTTGATAAAAATATTGTCAACAGAGGCTTGCTAGGAACCTAACGTGTATTTCCCCTTGGAGCAATGGTTCAGTGTTTGCTAACTCAGAGCCTGTAATGACTTTACAGAATATAACTGCCATGAATAATGAGAACCAACTATAATGTCATAAAGAACATCCCTGTCCACGGAGATCTGTCCTTAAATCTGACTCTTCCCTATGGACAAGTTCCTAGAAGTAAAATTACTGGGTCAAACAACAGTACTGTTTCAAGAGAAATTGTCTGTCTTTATTATTTACTCAAGGGAGAAGACTTCAGTGATGTGTGGATCACTTGCTTTATATTAAATTATGAAAATACATCTTCGTTTTCCCCAACTTGTCTAGCAAAATAGGGCCTCTTATTTCAAGAGAAATGAGGAGGAAAATTTCAAGCTTATTTTCAAAATATTTATTAAAAGCTTATAACACAATTGAAAGCTCTACTACAGTTGTGGGTTTCCGTGGCTGGAGCCAATGGAATTAGCAGATCTGAAGGGGACTCTGGCCTGAAGACACAGACAAGGCCAGGTGAGTAGAAACCTGACCGGCCATAACCTGACACACTCTTAAGTCAATGTCATAGTCTAAGTTCGAAGGACTTGGAGACTCAGAGTAGAAACCCAGTGAAATGAATGCGCAGGCTCTTTAAAAAGTCCGTGCAGACCACTATGCCCATGGAGGTCACGGTTAAGACCAGTGAGCAGGAAAGTCGCTCTTCTTTCTGCTCTTCAGCATCTGGTCAGATATTGACCGACAAGTGACCTGCCTGCCATGCAGCTAACACATCTACCCCAGGCACTACCTGGCATGCGGTCTTGAGTTCAATTCCTACCAAGTGTCCTCATCATGGACAATGAATCAAACTCCCAAAATCCTCTTGTTCAAAGGTTTGCTTCAGGCTTTAATTTTGTTTTTACCTGTTACATTATCATCTGTATTCTCCTCACTTGATATGCTGCCATCAATCTCTGCAGATTTCAAATATAAGGAACTCTTGTTTTTCATTAGGATTTCTTCATCATCATTTATTTCCATACTTAAAGATCCATTTTCACAATTGTTTAACTCCATTTGCCTGGAATTTTTTTTAAAAGAAAAGGTCAGAAGGTCCAATTATTTTGTCATAAACAGATTGTCCAGGCAGATCTTATTCTGAGGGAGGGGGAAGGGTTTACATCGATTAAACAGAATTGTTCAATCAAGCCCAACTTCTCGCCGCCCTGCCTCCTTGGCAGGTATGTCTTCAGGCCAAAGTTGAGAAATCAAAGAGCCATTCTCTGGGCCCTCCAAGCACCCTCCTGGGACGCAGACTTCCTGCTCCCCACCAGCAAAAGGAAGCAGTCATTAACAGTCCTCCGGTTTTCAGTCAGCTTTCTACAGGCCACATTTATCGCTTTTCTCATTCTCCTCAGCTTCTCCCTGAAAGGTTTTTTCTCTCCTCAGCTCTCAAAATCGCTGGCCACTTTCGGGTGTTTGCCTAGCAGTCAACTGCTTAGAAGCCACATGCTATGACCAGAGCAGAAAACTCCCTGCAAAGTATGTGTGACAGATAAAACCCGGGAGGGCAGATGACATCCTAAGGATCTGCTGCTCCTCAGGGTAACAGAAAAGGCAACTTAACCTACAAGTGGAACACCTGATTCTGTAAAAGGGACAAATATGACATCTTATTATAAGTGACTAGGACCCACTAAATTAGAACAGTTTCTTCTAATAAAAACAAAGGGAAAGGGTCCAAGCTACATAATGACTTCAAGAAAGACATTTATTTTCTAAAGAAATACCACATTTCAACTTAGCAATGAAAAATGTACATTAAGGAAATAACTCAAAAGAAAAAAAAATCTATAAAATGTTCTTAGTAGAAATATTTAGGATAGGAAGAACATTTTTATCAACCACATAGAGAACAATCCTGTACTAAAGAAGAAAACAATACTATAAAAAGAGATAAAATATTACATAATAAGTTAAAAAGACAAATACATGGACTAAGTCAAAACATGGGAATGCTTATGTCAAATAACAGCTGAATAAAGACCTCAAATAATAGGAACATAACTATGTAAATATGTCCTTTTTTAAATCAAAGGATTACTTTGAGGAAGAAATAGAGTTTGGTATTATGTTCTTTTTTCAACCTGTAAAGCTACCTAAGATTTTTATTTTTATACAAAAAATAGCACAGTCATTTCCGAATAAAAGCACAATTAAATCAAAGCTCAGCTCCTGCACAAAAGAAGCACTTCCAACCCTCAGTTCACTAGAGGGATGAAGAGTTACTAGGAGGGAGGGGTCAGAGTCGTAGCCGCAGCCTAAAGCAAGCACCTCCCTCGGCAGCCGCTGCTGGATGGAAGGTCTGCCACTGCTTCAGGCTCCCGCAAATGAGGAAAGCCAGGTACTGTTTCCCTCTGGTGTCATCTCAGATCACAAGGCAAACCACCAAACAATCAAAATATTCTCATTTTATCTTTTTTTCTTATTTTTAGAAGGAAGAAAAAACAAAAAAGTTACTGTACCTTTCCAGTGAATTATGAATCGGTACAATAGGATGTTTCACCTTTAAAAGAAGCAAAGAGATGAAAGTTTACATGTTACATTTCCAACAGAGCATATTTAATTTGATCACACATGAAACTGATGAATACGGCCATGACACACGCTGCTCCAGTTTTAGAATAATGTTAGATCCCTCCAAAAGAAGGGAGTTATTCTTCCCAAACAGCCCTTCATATTTATTCGAATAAGGGTGTCCGAATTCCTAAGCAAAAAGGAAGGTGGTCTTTTGAAGGGCCTAATTACCAGAGCCAAACCCTACACTTCCTTACAATTTCAGTTATGCTCATTAAACATTAGTAAAAGCCAAAGTATGGTGTCTTAAACACCAGAAGTATAAAGGTAAACAGTATAGGGGTCCTGCCCTTCAGGTAATGTCACTGTAGAGAAAGACTGAAATAAAGGTACACAAAGAAGAGGAGTCCTCAGCCCAGTTTAGGGATCCCAGGAAAAAGAGATGAAATCTTGAGGGATGAGTAAGAAGAGCTGACCAGGGGAGCAAAGGGCACAGGGCACTCCTGGCCCTGGGGAAAGGCCCCGATTTGGGGGAGCTACGAGCGGTTAACACAGTCAAGCCAGAGAATGACAGCAAAGGAGGGAGCTGGGGGTGTGGGAAGGGGCTAAGAGGTTCTACCTTTAACCTGTAGGCAGTGAGGGAGCCTCTGAAAGGCTTGGTAGAGGGTCCAATTTACACTGCGTGAGTGGGAATACTGTCCAGCTGCCTGGGAGGGTCAGGCTGAAGGTGACTAGTTAGAAGGCGACCACAGATCGGAAGGAGGCTCGCTGGTCAAGGAGGCTGGAACGAAGAGGCTCGCCACAGAGACAGGTTACAGAAAGCTGCCCAAAGGAGCTGACTGGGTAGGGGGACTGCGGGCGGATGTAAAAGTGGATGTAAGCGAAGTTCACTAAAAAAGTCTTCACCAGTATATCGCTCCTCAATGTTTCTGCTTTCCAGACGCCCGGCTGTGGGCCAGCTGTGCCGGGCTCTCACCTTGCTGGACTTGAGCATGGCCAGCTGCGGGGACCCGGGCGGAGTGCGGTAGAGCAGCTCGGACGTGAAGGCTGCGTTCGCAATCTGCATGCATTCTTCCAAGGTCTTCAGAAAAGTATTGCACGTTGACTTCAGCAGTGTTCCCACATCAATTCCCTCCTAAGAAACAACCAGAGTGGAAGACTCCTTTACCTTGCCAAAAAAGAAAAAGCCCAATTGTGGAATGTCTTTAGTGGTATTTATCCACAGCACAATAATGATAACGCTCCCATCTATTTTGCAGGACAAATAGGTACAACGGTTATCAAAGAAAGAGACTGGGTGAGTCCATTTTCTCTATTAACCACACACAAGCCGCACCCTCAATCGACCTTTCACGCTCACCCACCACTCAGCCGAAGGCAACAACATTATACGCCCGCACTGTGCCAGGGGCTGGGCACAGCACCCCCCTGAAGTGTCCGGCCTATAGCGGTGGCAGAAGTGAAACAGGGAATCACATACTGAAGGCCAGTGGGATCAGTGGAAAAATGCCTCCCACTGCCTGAATGAGGTTCTAAAACAGAAGCGTTAGAAACCACACATCATGCAACGTTGGCTTTCAGAAAGGGCTTTCTGGCTGTCCGTTCAGATGAGTTTAAGAGGCTTCAGCAGCTGGAATTCTTCGGACTAATCATTTTTTTCTGTAAGTTATTTTACTTGTTCGGTGTATTTTTCCTCTGGATATTGATATGAATGTGTTGTTCAGAAAACTGAGGTCGCATCCTGACTAGAGAGTGGAGTAGCCACATCTAGTGTTGAAGTCATCAGATTGGGCCCAAGGTGGAGTTGCTCATCCTATACCTCGTGTCTCCAAACCAAAAACTTACCTAGGCCTCTATACTGGGCTCTCCCTGGACAACATCTCCAGACATTGCCTGATGCCTCCTGACGGGCAAAACTATTCTTCTCTAGGCCAGCGATTTTTACCTGGTCTGCTGCTTGAATTTTTAAAACATGCAATATCTGACTATTTAGTCAGGGGCACTGACTGACCTCTTTTCCCTTAGATTGTCAAATTAAAAAAAAAATGACAACAGCCAATGCAACGATAGCCATCCAGTGTGAATAAATCAAACTTATACCTATTTTTTTTTTGTCAGATTGGCAAAAAAACCCATTTTTTGGTGTGCTGAGGAATTTTAGTAATTAATTCACGTGTGCCACGTGACAAAGGTTGACAATCCCTGCTCTAGACTATAAAGACCCCAAGAACAGGGCTGGAATGTTTTTGTTTGGTGCTCCCCCTCTTCGCTTACCCCATCACTGTCTTGTCCACCCCTGGCAGATGCTCAATGAGTAAGAGCCGAAAAGGAAGTGAATGGAAAGTGAGTTAAATCACCTTTGTTAGAAGAACTATAAGCACACAAGTTACTAGTAGCCTAGTGTCTAAGGAACATAATGTAAAACCGTTCATGACAAGCTGCAGACTCTCCATGATGGGGCCTTGTTTTTAGATACAACTTCCCTGCGAGCTGAGCAGCAGAGGCCCTGGCCGGTAGCGTGCGCCATTCAGTACACAGCTCAACGCCCGACAGACCTTTTCATGCATAGTTTACGATGAGTGAACAGCCACTTTATTAACAAATGCTAAAAATTGCAGTCCTTGCTGCTGAAGGAGTGAAAAAAAGTTGCCTCCATCTTTGAAAACGCTAGTCTGTATTGAAGCACAACAGTTACCACAGTGTCATCAAAGGCGAGACACTCGGTGACAGACACAACGGGGATATGTGAGCGGTTACACCTTGGGAGAGGCTCTGCCGGGCAGGTAAGACGGTGCTCCAAAGAATGATACAAGACGGGGGGCACCATATTGGAGGGCGTCTGCGCTAAGTGTGACGGTTCCAAACGTTAGCAGTGAACTAATCCTGAATTCATTCTAGAAAGTTATATGCTGAAATGCACACATTTACTCTCTTTATTAAATTTTATAATTTTTTTCCTCTGAGAAACAGTAAAATCCAAGATAGTTAGGGATTACGTGACAGTAAGCCTCACCTGAAGGCAGCATCTGGTGCCACTTCCCATGTGGCTAAAGGAAATACTATTTTACCTCAGAATTGGACACACCCGCTGTGGTCACTTCTTTTGTTTTCTCCACTTGCTGAACAAGGAGGTCACAGTAGAGTCTTAGTTCCGACATTTTGGTTTTCAAGTTTTCAGTGTTTTCCGCGAACTCTAAATAACAAAATGGTGGTGATGTGAGTCACTGTCAAAATGAACAAATGATTCACTAGTTATAAACCGCACAGAGGGTAGAATATGTAACCTATGCCTGCAGTCACATGTATACAGTGTGGGTTACTGAGAGTGTATCCGTGAAGATACGGGAGCAAGAGAAACAGAAAAGGAGACGCCCAGCCTGCCCGAGTAGCCCACGTTATTTCTTGAGCCAACATACTGCCTGATCAGCAGCACAGGGAGGAGGAGATAGCATACTTCTGATCCACGTGTGTCACAGCCGGGAGCAGATGCTCCGGTTTCCCTTCCGGTTACATAAATGTGTCACCTTTTACAACTGGGAGCAGAGTCCAGGGTTCAGAGTTTTAGTCACAGTTCTGCCCCAGCTTTCCCTCTGTGTAAAATGGGGTCACGGCTCTCCACCTGCTAGCACAGCGCTCAAAACGGGGAAACAGTGTCCCGCGACGTGCAACCACCACTCCTAAGGTGGCTCACTCATTCCGCAGACGAGGCCAGCGTGCTGCCTTGTCAGGGCTAAGAGCGTCCTCTGTGCGCCTGCTGCTCCTGTATTAGCTCGGCGCTCTTGCCACCCTGGCGCTGAGGGCTCAGCAACAACTGTTACTGCCTCTGTCTTCTTCTCCATAAAAATCCTACACGTTACCACCGCATCTGAGTCAAAGCTCACAGTGTCTAGAATTTACTCCCGATTTGGCATTCCAAAGTGCCAATGAAGAGGCCACTTTACTGTCTCTACCTGAAGAGTTAAGCACATCTGCCACACCTGTCAGGAGAAAGGTGTCCTGAAACTCAGGCAGTGAGCCCTGGCACTTGTGACACCGTCTGGACACGGAGCCTCGCGTGCTTCTCAGACCTGCAGATGTCGAGGTAATGAGCACTAATAATGCAGCAGCAACCTGACAGCTAAGCATCCATCCCGCCCCAGGGCAAGGGAGGAAAAGCAGGTGTCACTGCAGAAAGGACCCTGAGCCCAGGCTCCTCAGGCTCAGCTGCTCTTTATCAAAGGTGACCTCTGCCAGACCGGGAACTTCCGGGCTTCCTATTATCACTAATGCGTGTGGTAATCCTTTCAATGTAGGCCACAGCCTCTTTTTAAAATATTAGGAAACTGAGGATCAGAAAGGTTTAGTGACACATGCCGAGGTCACGAGGCCAGGAACCTTGATTTGAATCCAGCGGTGCTCTGCCACGCTAAGAGTGAGGGAGAGAGTATGGCTTAAATCCACTCTAGTTTGCATCATCGGCGCGATGCAAGAGGCTGGCTAGGCGGTCAGAAGCCAGGTAGTAAATACAGGACCCAGAGATGACAGTGGGTGATTCCCAAGGTTCTCAGACCAGAGGACAATCGATACTTGCCCTTTTCCTTCTGGGTCCTACTGTCTGTCAGGCAAGCCTTGGCTGATCCCAGGGCTACCAGCCACCGCTGCCTCTCCGCCACGCTTCTGGCTTTCAGGTAGAAGTACTGCTCCCCGGGGATGATCAGGTCCATGCGCGTGTTATCTACAGAATGAACTGGGAGCAAAGCAGAGGGAGGTCAGAAACCAGGAGAGCCCCCCCGGGGCCGCCGCCGCCCTGCCCAAATTCTTGAGCTCAGCGGGTGCCAGTCACAGAGGGCTGACTACCTCTCCGGGAGTCCTCACCGCATCCCAGGTACCTCTGCTGATGGAGAGGGGAAGCCCTGCACCTGGCTCCAAGGTATCACACCCAGATTTTGGGCTAAAATATAAAAAATCATCCAATTCTCCTTTGAGTCTTTTATCAGAACAGAGAAGGAGACACTCTTTTGGCTTGCGTGTGTAAAGCATGCTGCTCTGAGGTCAAAGCGGCCCACGTGCCAGCTCGTAAGAGGGTTCTCCTTATCTCCATGGGTTGACTGGAAGGCAACCAAGGGCAGGATGGTTTTCCTTTTCTGCTTCCCTTCACAAGTCGGAGCGAAAGCGTGAGAATTCCCTCAGAGCCCTTAGAAGAAACAAGCAAACCACACTCTCCTTTACCCACCACCCACTAGCCTGCAACCCCCAAATTCCCTTCTAATCTGTTTCCCTTCAAATCTGCTTCTGAACCACATCTCAGTATGTCTCACGGTTCCCCAAGCCAAGAAGCAAAGGCTATTTGTAGGCCCGTTAGGTGTTTGCTTGTTTTGTTTTGAGTATGAGGTGGTGGTGGGAAGTGTGTGTGTGTCTGTGTCTTGATTTAAACACAGAAGTATTTGATGATGCAGTAAAAAGATTTAAATAAGCTTTGCAAACAGCCCCTGGCCCCAGTGGGCAAGTGACTAAGGAATGACCGTGCCGTTGGGCCCACTGCTCTCATTTTGAAATCCTCTTAACCCGCCGCCTTGTAAAAGTTGGCTGCAATTTTAGGTCTTATTGCAGAGCTTTCTTTTGGGACATAACACTATGCATTTTTTTTTTTTATTATTATTTTTTTTTTTGGTGCTATTGGAGAGGCCAAGAAAGACACACAGAGACCAGTGGTATTTTTTTTCTTTTTCTTTTGGTGAGGACAGAAGGGAAAATAAAGTCTGCGGCTCTCTTCGTTTCTCACCTTGAATTTCACACACCGCCATTTGGATGCTCCCTTTGCAACCTTTCCAGGCATCTTCAGGCGAATCATAATAGGATAGTATCCCCCCACAGAGCAGGAACCATCGAGGCTGCCAACCTGCACAAAGAAGAAGCGTATGGTCTCAATGACCTCCGTGTGTGAGGCGCCTCCCGGGACACCGGACTGGGACCTAAAGAAGGACACTGGGGCCCGGAGTGTACCTTCCAGGGCGGACTAAGGGAAAGACGTAGGTTAGGAAAGACCGGTATGTGTGATCCCGTTTTTGCAAAATTAAAAAGTCATACGATGCATAGAAAATGTCTGGAAGGATCAGCAGCAAATATTGTCATGATTCTCTAGGAAACGGGATTACCGATGATTTTGATTCCCTTCTCCCCTATAATATAGTACCAGTAATCTGTTGTTTTCAATTATTTGCTGAACATTATTGTTATCACACACTCATTCTCCTCTCCTCTGGTGAAGAAAATAATCACAGACTTAGAAATGAGGCAAAAGACTACACTGCCCTTCCAATGTCACAGAGTGCTTACAAGCCTGCCCAGGGTCACATGACCACCAGGAAAAGATAACTTGGACTCACCATTTGATCAAAACATTCAAGGGCTCAACTACTTTTACTCTGGAGAACTTCAAGGGACAAACTGTATCCAGTCACAATACATACCTTACCAAGTCCTCTAATACAACCAGTGTTCCAGTCAAACCCAACTAATTTGCTGTATTTGCCTTTTGCTCAAGCCAGATCTCCTCCCTAAACGTCCGTCCCCGACTATCCCTGCATTGGCCTTGTCAGTCTCCTCAGTCAGGATTATTTTTTTTCTTTCTCTAAACTGCCATCGCCCTTTAGAGATTTATGTCCCTCATGGGACTCCTCTGGGGTGGGGGCAGCCAGAGAGAAGGTGGCAGCAGCTTTGGGCTGCTCAGGTCCAGACATCTGATGACAGGCCCTAGGGACTGACTCACACAGACCAGGTGCCTGAGATACCCGCCAAGGTCCAAACGGTGGCAATTTATCACGTGATAATAGATTAGTGCACTTCCTGACGCTCCCCAGCCTCAGATCATGGTACAAGGAAACATGTCATCAGGAAGCGAAACGGTTAGCACTAAATCTAAGCTCAGCAGAGGTTAGGTGACAGGCGTGATGTGCCACTCATTGTTTACTCCATCAGGATCTGCTTTTCTTTCTTGTTTTTAATTTATTTTTTTAAGTTAAATTTATTGGGGTCTCATTGGTTAATTATAATCACATAGGTTTTGAGTGCACAATTCTGAAATACCTCATTTGTATATTGCATTGTGTGTTCACCACCCAGAGTCAAATCTGTTTCCGTCTGCTTCTCGAGGAACCAGAATACTCACCGGGCCTGCCAGGTTACCACATCTCTCACTTCCGTAAACCAAACAGGATAAATACTAATTCTCAACATCTACCCTCTAGATGGGTAGCAGTCACTGAAATATCCTGCCATGCACACCTTTCTCACCAGAGATGAGTAGTCTCCTCTAGAACTATAGCTTATGCTGGTCTTGTCACTTTTTTATACTGAGGATTTCCTTCCCAGGGAGACGCCTAGACCCTTCACTGAATATAAGGAGCCCCATGGCCTTATCTCAGCATAAGTCAATTATTGGCTTGCAAACCTCTTGGGATCAACTCATTAATTTTCATTTCAGAAAGTGAAGCTCCTGACCTTAGCTGCAAATTCTATGGAAACTCAAACTTAAAGGCCACTGCTCTTTGCACAAACATTATGACCCCGGAATCCACCCTGATCACACTATGTCTTGTTGAGCAGTGAATCAGCACTCCTGGAATCAGACTGTACTGGTGATAGTTCAGAATGCTCTCCTGGTAGAGGAGAGTACCATCTTCTCACTTACAGTTCAGCTACCATGACTCTACTTGGTGAGAACACTCCCCAAAACCACCATGACTTTTGAGTAGAAAGAATTGAGGATACCTCATTTACAACATTTTATGAAATTCAGAACTCCATCTGCATGACTCAGGGTATTACTCCAGAGAAACAGAGCCGAAAGTATGTACCTTTCTCTTTCTCTCTCTCTCTCTGTCCCCCTCCCCCCCCCTCTGTCCCCATCCCCCTCCATGTAATGATGGAGGCTGAGAAATCCCAAGATCTGCAGTCAGCAAGGTAGACACTCAGGAGAGCAGAGCTGTAACTCCAGTCCAAAGATAGCTGGCAGGCTGAGGACCCAGTAAGAACCAACGCTTCAGTCCAAGTTGGAACGCCAGAAAAGATTCATGTCTCTGCTCAAGCCTTCCCTCTTGGCCTTTTTGTTCTGCTTAGGCCTTTGACTGAATGAGACCCACTCTCATTAGGGGAAGCAATCTCCTTTACTGGATCTACCAATCCGAACATTAACCTTGTCCAGAAACTCCCTCACAGACAAGACCCGGGACGAGGTCTGACCAAATATCTGTGCAGCCTCTGGCCCAGGCAGATTGACACATAAACTTAACCACCACACATCATCAATTTTAAGATATATCATTATTTTATGTGTCACAAAAAAAGGGAAAAACCCTGCTATTAAGCCACAATATAGCACTGATGCCAAGATGATTCCTGATTTCAGAGTTAATGAAATGTGGGGAAAAAGTCTAAAAAAATGTTTACAAATACTAAACTAGGTTTATTTTACAGGAATCTGAAAAAGTCACGCCCCACCCCCCAACACACACACATATATACACACATGAAACCCAGCTGTAGAAAGTTCTGAAAGTAGCCGGTAAACAATTATAGTGACTGAAACCAAAACTTCCCTGTAACAGGTTCAGTATTTACCTAGAAGTTATAGTTATGGTAGGGGAAGTTCAATGATTGTTTTCTGCAGATTGTAACTACAAAAACTATGAGCAAGTGAAACTTTTCTTTAAGGAATAAAGACCCTGGAATTTCAGCAGGCACATGAGGAGACCACAGAAGTCTCATTCTCATTACAGAGGAGTGCCATTTAAAGGCAGCGCAACGGACAGTCCACATTAGTATTGGGATGCACTGCTCTTTCACGACGTCCAGTCCTGAGAAGCTCAGCTGCTGCTCAGGAATGACGAATTGTAAGAGAAAAGAGGCATGGATGATGAAGAGACCATTAGTCCTTGTCTTGCTTTAAACTGCAGTTGCCTTGGTTGCTGTATGATGGTTTGTTTTACGTATCCAAAGGACTGTGCTGGCTGATGCCCACAGAGCTGGTAAAACATTACTTCTAGGTGTGTCTCTGAGGGCGTCCCGGGGAGAGCTCAGCATCTGAGTCAGCAGGCTGAGGAAAGGGCACGGCCCCACCCGGGCAGGGGGGCACCATCCTGTCCACGTGGGCCTGAGGAGAACAAAAAGGCAGAGTGAGGCCGAACTCCCTTGCTGCTCGGAACAGAAGGGAACTTCTCACCCTGATAAGCGCACCTACAAAAACCCCTCAGCTGACAGTGCACTTAATGAGAAAAGACTGCATGCTCTGACCCCAGCATGAGGGACAAGGCAAGGGTGCTTGCTCTCTCCCTTCTTTCAACGTTGTATTGGAGGTTCTAGCCAGGGCAAGAGGGTACCAAATGAAATGAAAGGTCTCCAGATCAGAAAGGAAGAAGTAAATCTGCCTCTCTTTGCCAACATGCTCTTATATATTAGAAAAGGAAATACTCCCTAAGTCCACTAAAAAAATTATTAAAATAGACAAGCTCAGCAAGGTTGCAAGATATAAGACCCATATACAAATGTCAACTGCATTTGCACACAGTTGCAATGAAAAATCAAAAAATGAAATTAAGCCAATTCCATGTACAATAACATAAAAAATTAAAATACTTAAGAATAAACTTAAAAGAAGTCTTAAATTTGTACTCTGAAAACTACAAATATTATTCAAAGAGATTAAAGATTTTAAGACTTTATTCCAAAACTGTTACCAGCCTATTCTTTTCTCACACGGTGCAAATGTCTGTCTTTATTTAATGGACAGCAACTGTTTCCTAAACTCACTTTTTTCGACTCAACTAATGTTAAACAATATATGTTTTTTCAATGAGCATAATTTTCTTTAAAAAATGCACTTAATATTTGAATCTAAAATGACATAGATCATGTTAATTTTGCACTCTTTGTTCTTCCACATCAGCCACAATGTTTAATCAAAATCTCTATGCCCAGATGTGCTTATTCCTTTAAAGATCCAAACCAGATAAGTGATTACTTGTGAGTCATACCAATATCTGACTGAAAAATACTGCCACTTCCTTCTTTTATTACTCACTAGCCTTGTGACAAGTAGCTCATCCAAACACATCATTAAAAAAAAAATGTATTCCATTAGAGACATAAAATTTTTTTAAATACTTATTTTTTAGGTTTACACACAGTAAAATTTCTTCCATTAACAGTCCTTAGTTTGGATAAATACAGTTATCTAACAACCACCATAATAATCAAGATACAGAAAAATTCTATTTCTTCCCCTTAAAATTCCCTTGTGCTACCCCTGTGTAGACGAACCTTTCCCCCACACTTTACCCCAAACCAACCACTGTTGTTTTCATTTTAAATGGAAAATATTTTCTAATTTTCTTGGAGACTTTCTCTTTGACCCATGGGTTGCTTAGAAGGGTGTTGTTTAATTTTCTAATATTTGAGGATTTCCCACATCTTTCTGTTACTGACTTATACTTTACTTCAATTAAAGACAGAACATTCTTTTACATTTGGCAGGGTTTCTACTATAGCCCACAATATGGTTGATCTTAGTGTATGTTCTATGTGCACTGGAAAAACAATGCAGTATGCTGCTGTTATTTGGGGGATTATTCTATAAAGGCCAATTAGGTCAGGTTGGTTGACAGTGTTCAGATCGTCTATGTCACTGAACAATTTACTATCTACTTGTTCTATCCATTACTGAGAGAATGTTGAAGTTTGCATGTGCAAATGTGGATCTATTTCTCCTTCCAGTTCTCAGTTTTTGCCTCATATATTTTGATGTTGTTTTTAGATGTACCCACATTTAGGATTCTTATCTTTCTTATGAATTGGTCCTTCTGTAATTATGCCATGTCTTCTTTATCATTTCCAATTTTCCTT